AACAGTATCATGCTCAGTCTGTTTTTCTCTTGATATCAGACAGAACTGCGCAAATACAGTTCAATACGTGCATTAACACAAAATACACCAACTATTGATTCTCTTTTTTGTGTCTTCATTTGACTTTTTTTGTAAAAACCTGCATATCAATCTGTGTTGTATACCTGTTTTGCATATATGTGCTGAATGAGGGTATGTGAGTGTGATGTCGGTGCCTGTGCATGTGTGTGTGGAGCCGAAGCGAGGCCTTACATAACCTGCTTCAAAGTGAGCTGCAGTCGGCCAGCAATACAGACACGGCAATACGCACAGAGAGAAAGAAGAAAACCGTTTCACAGAGAGGAGGAAAAAAGATAGAGACTGCATAGAGGAGAGAGGGAGTAAACAACTTTAGGTCTAAAATATTCTGTAGCAGCTACTTTGTGCATGGCAAATGTAGCACGGGTGATTGGCTACAACACCATATAAAGCACGTACATCATACAACTGCTAAAGGTTTTTTTTTCTGCAAAATATGTTTTGTTGGATTTCTTTCTTTTTTTTTTTTTCTGTCGTCAGGCAAATGTCCTTCTACTGTCTATTCTGGGTGTATTATAATTGCATTTGCTGCCAACAGATCAACAGATAGACGTGTATGTGTGTGTAGGGTCAGGAGGGGGTTGATGGGAGTTGGGGTTTGGTTCTCCCTCAAATTGCACATGCTCCTGTCGCCTCAGCTCCTTTGATTGGGAAAAGAGTCTTAAAATGTCAAGAAAACCAGCTATTTTCTTTGTCTCGGCTTGATTCACTCACTGCTAGTTTCCTCGCCTGCTCATTTCCAAAAAAGATGTCAATCAAGCTCAGATTTTACACTTTTTCGCAGCATGTTGCTGGGCCAGTAATGGTTGCTTGATTTTTGCTCCCTAAAAAAAAAAAAAAAGTCTTGTCACGGGCAAGTTGCTTCAAACTTTTTATCCCTCCTAAATCATTTGACATGCATCAGTTGTTTTTTTGTGTGTGTCGCTAATATCTAGAATAAGTATCCAGCACCAGAACGGCCAATAACTAGAAATCAGTCGTGTTGCATTGTTTTCATGAAGAAGAGACAGTAGATATATATTTCAAACTTCCATTTACGTGTTTGAGAAAAAAAAATCTCATCTCAACATCCACTTACTAGCTTCTTCTTGGCTTTCAACTCACATCTCACAGTCTCCCTCAGCGAGTTTGCTCAGGGAAAATACTGTTTCCAAGGTCAAGAATGAAATGACGTTTTCAGGTGGTAAATGCTGCTGAAAACTGCCGTACACCTCAGGCCATAGCTACAAATCTCTGCCTTCAGGTTGTAAGTATCACAGAAAATATTAGAAATTTCATCTTTCCTTTTAGGTAATTAATATTGTCACAGCAAAAGTTTGCATTCCATTAGCCATCGTAAGTCATTACATTGAGCCAGCAGTCAAGTCATTCCAGTAATTTTTCCAAATGCAGCATTTATTTCCAGATGTAAAGGCACAAACATCCAACGTTAAAAAAAGAACTCGACAACACTACAAACTTACGTCAAGGTGTTTGACTTTTTAATATTCAGATACAGAAGGTCTTCAGGGGGCTCTACGGATAGCAATGTACCCACAAATACATGGTACCCACAGGATAAAGCCTAATGATGTAAATGATCCCCTGACGTTTTACCCAGTGCCACCAGTAGATCAAATTGCAGTATATCCACATGTGCTCAATGTATCGTCTAAATCTGGAACGTTCATGGTTCCAAGACACTGACAACTCATGACACAGCAGGTTGACAAAACTATGTCCCTGGCTGTAGACTGACTTCTGTGCTTTATATGCGAGCCAACCGCACGGATGTCTTACAACATAACACATCATGGACTGGAAAACATTGTCAGTGTATATTACTACTTAGTAATCAAGTTTATGTGTCTAATTTTAAGGGGACAAGGTGGCACCGGTTGACTAGGTGCTCAAGGAACAAAGGATAAAATAGAGAAAAATAAAACAAAAGCACTACCAGACTTACTGTAGGAGTCTGCTCTTCATGATTCCCACTTGATAACACCAAGTCTGAAGTGAAGGTCCACTTTTCTGCAGACCTTTAAACCTGGGTTGTGTTGTTCACATAGGTCTTATTGTGTATTGTGTATTCTGTGGGTTGATGTAAGATTTTGTTCTGTACTTTTAATTGGAAAGAAGCTGGCCCTCCACATGTGTAGTTCTCACTGGATAATTGACAAACATTCAGCTACAGTATTGTGAAAAAGTTTCTGGCAAGTTTGGAAAGAAATGCTGTAATGTAAGAGTGCTTTCAAATATAGACATGTTAATAGATTATATTTATGAGTTAACAGAATGCAAAGTGAGTGAGCAAAAGAAAATCTAATAATTTTTTTGTGTGACCAGCCTTCAAACCAAGCATCAATTCTTCTAGGCACACTTGCACATAGTTTTTGAAGGAAGTCGGCAGAAGGCTGTAGGTTGACCTCCCCACAGTTCTTCTGTGGATTAGGCCGCCTCAGCTGCTTCTCTCTCTCCCAGACAGACTGGATGATGTTGAGATCAGCGCTTTGTGGGGGCCATACGATCACTTCTTCTAGTTCTTAATGACTTTGGTAATGAGTTTGGGGTCGTTGTCATGCTGCAGAGTAAATTTGGGGCCAATCAGATGCCTACCTGGTGGAATTGCATGATGAATAAGTATCTGCCTGCACTTCTCAGTATTGAGGAGACCATTAATTCTGACCAAATCCCCGACTCCGTTTGCAGAAATGCAGCCCCACACTTGCAAGGAACCTCCACCACGCTTCACCGTTTCCTGCAGACACTCATTCTTGTACCGCTCACCAGCCCTTTGGCGAACAAACTGCCTCGTGCTACAGCCAGATGTTTAACATTATGACTCATCAGTCCAGAGCACCTGCTGCCATTTTTCTGCACCCCAGTTCCTGTGTTTTCGTGCATAGTTGAGTCGCTTGGCCTTGTTTCCGTGTCGGAGGTATGGCTTTTTGGCCACAAGTCTTCCATGATGACTACTTATGTCCAGCTGAGTTTGGCTGTTCCTCACCCAGTTTCATTCCCCCTACACAGCTGTTTCTTCTTCAGTTATGATTGTGTTTCAACCTACATATTAAATTGGTGATCATTAGCACCTGTTTGGTTTAACTGTTTAATCATACACTTGATGTTATGCCTACAAAAACCCTGACTTTATACAAGTGGACCAAGAAGAACTGATGCTGTTTTAAAGGCAAAGGATGGTCACGCCCATGACTGATTTAGTTTTTCTTGTGTTCACTCACTTTGTATTTTTTTAATTGATAAATGTCATATACTAACATGTCCAGGTTTTTTTTTTTTTAAAGCATTCTTACCTGACAGCATTTTTCCACACATGCCTGAAACTTTTGTGCACCCATTCACCCAACACTCTCAAATAGCAGACTCTTCCACTAAGTCAGTTAGTGCTGTGTTATATAAGTTATTTTTTTCACAGATTCAACTGAATAAAATCCAGTTCCTTTGCCAAAGCTCAAGTTCCCAAAGTGGATTTATCAGATGAAAGCAAAAGCGATGAAAGGTGAAGAGTATTTTTGTACTTACTTTCTGAATGCTGAGGTGAAGAGTATTTTCTACTAACATTCACCTTCTGACAGACGGGGTGAACGGTATACATATATGGTATGGTTGATATCTGCACATGAATGAAGCATAAAAATTAAAGTTGATAAAACAAGACCAAGCTGACTTTGTATTATTTTTCTTAAACTTCCTCATCATGACTCCAAGAGAAGAAGCCTTGAGTGTTGATGGCACAGAAACCACTTGGTCACCGTCAAAAAAATGACACGAGCAGTGAGTCAACGAATTAAAAGAATAATTCTTCAGAGATGATGATGGAGGGGTGAAAATTGGTTCTTTTTTTTTGTTTCTACCTCTCTGTGCATCTCTCTCTCTCTCTCTTTCTCTCTCTGCCACCTTCTCTTTTAATTTACCAAAAACAGCCAGTGGGCAGATGGGGATCAAATTACGTTCACCTTTTACCTGCACTCCTCTGCGCAATTAGCGTCACGCTTACTTGTCATTTCAAATTGACACACTGCTGTTGTGCTATGTAATTATTTTCCCGCCTGGGGAATATCTGTCTCTGGTTTAAACACTAAATAATGACAAAACACACATGCACACACACATACACAAAACACTAAAGCACCTGTGCCCTATTTTATCTGAAACATGTTTAACATGCCTTTTACCATTACAGGATCATTGTGCATTTGATTACCAGTCACTGTCTGATTAAAGGTGTCTTTGTGTTCTGTGTTTCTATCTAAAAAGGTCTAACTGACTGATGGTGTGCAACAGCCCTTTAAAATGTTCTCTGTGTCGCATTAAAATTTTGGGGTTTGAGCATCAGGACCCAAACCTGCCATTCTTCCTGTAGGTGTCCTCTCTTCTTTGCCTGTTCTTTTTTAAAATCAGTCTTTTTGCTGGTAACATGGTGGGAGGAAAGGGCTGGGTCCTGTTCTTCAAACCACAGAGGCCTTATTAATCCACGTTCCCTTTTTCCCCCCCATTCACCAAACCCACCGACAACCCACCAAGCTCCCCAAAACAAGTTAGGCTCAGGGAAGAGACAGGGTTTAATGGAGAGAGAGAGAGAGGAAGAAATAGGGACCATGAACAATGGCAGCCGTTTTCTTCTGCAGGGGGAGAGAAGGAAATCACATCCAGAAACAGTTTTCTTTGATCTTGTGTCTTTTCTTGTGATAAATCTATGTCTGTGATGCCTTTTGTTTTTGCTTTTGTACTCTTTTTAAAGGAAAAAAAACGAGAAAAAAAAAACCAAACAAAACAATAAGCAACCATGAACTCTTGCTGATTTGTCCTTTTTGCTCTTTCTTCTTTTCTTTTTTTGATATTCTTTTTTTTTCCGTTTTTGCCAGTAATCTTTTTTGAATTTTCTCTTTTCTCTTTTTCCCCCCTTTTTTTCTTAACCCTAGGTCCGCTCACAAAAAAACATGATGAATCTTCAATGAACAAGCCTCGAGACGAAGGTATTTTTGTTGCATGTTTTTCCTTTTTTCTTGTTTTGAAGTCTTTTTGGGGGATGTGTACACATACAGTAGAGTGGAAAACACACACACACGTCACACACACACACACACACACACACACACACACACACGTCACACACACACACACACACACACACACACACACACACACACGAGTCACACATCTGTTAGGTGGGACTTTGGATATGAGATGCATACCAATATGTTGGTGTAAGTGTATGTGCTGACCCTTGCAATTAAAAAGCTGTCTTTCCAAAGCAAATCATTAGCCTTATGTAACCTTGGATGATCATAATGCCTGGCTAATGGAACCCAGATACCCTTCATTATAAAGTCATCTACAAGCAGTTGTGTGTGTTTTCCAGAGGTTCCTTATCTGGCTCTCAAACAAGAGAGAGAGCCCCGGACATCATCATCACCACTGTGCCCTTGAAAATACATTGGCCGGCTAACAGCATTGTCACTGAACAACAAAGCACCTATTGAGACCAGCTTACAGAATGAGGTGCATTATTATTGCGCCTCGATCCCCAGCTCAAGGATGAAATTGCTATTGAGTAAGGACCTACACAAATATTAAGCCAGCCTTATTCCAAGTCAATGATGATAACATCAAATCAAGAAAGAACAAAAAAATGGGGACATCCAAGGACACTTATGCCCCGCTTTGGAAGATTTGGGTTTAGCCGGCTGCTACAAGAAGGACACAGAACTCACAGCCTGCTGTTAATTTATCTCCTACCTGCAGCACATACACTGTGGAGGTGATTTTATCTGCACTGTCACCCCCCACCTCCCCCCCCGCTTGTTCTTTTGGACGTGTTTCTTGGAGAAAAAAAATGACTGATGATATTTTGATACATATTTCTCTTTATGCTATTTTGGAGGGTTGTGCGGATGAGTCTTTTTCTTGCTCCGTGATGCTCTTTGATTTGGGGTATTTTTTGAAGTTGGGAGTCGGAGGAAGTTTGACACAAGAGGATTTTCTTGGTGATCAAACGTGCTGGCACAGACACAACTTTATGAGCTGCCACAGTCAGCAAGCAGTCGAAGCAGTCAAGCCCAGTTAAGACACTCCCCCAACCCCACCCGATCCCCTAAATATGTCTTTAATCCCATATCACAATGTACAATTAACCTCATTTGATTAAGAACTGCTAATCCCCTTACACTAACTCAGCAACATAGTCCAAAACTGGAATTGATCACAGGTACAGGGGAAAACTGGAGTCAGTCTCTGAACAGTGACCAAAAGTATACAGATACTAAACAAATATATGTCCCTGTCCCTGCATAGGAAAACAGATACACAATAGATAAAGACAAGCACTGTAAAAAGGGCAGATAATCTCTGTTGTATAAGACATATTTTGGAAGAATACAAGTAACCTGTTCCCACACGACAGGTAGTGGAAATAACTTTCTATACAGAGCCATTAGATGCACTGGCATAGCCAGAATTTTACAAATACAAAAAAACCCAGCAGTCTGTAAAATGTTCTGAATATACATTTCCCCTAATGTTCTTCATTAATTCCAGAAAGGCTGAATCAATATATTATGTATACTCTATTATATTTGAGTATATTTTGCCTGTAAAGAGTCCAATTTACATTCCCCCTCCACTCACAAACATGTTTTGCTTGTTGCTCCTTCAAATTAATGTGTGAGCTTTACTGTGCAGAGTTTGACACCAGAAGACTGTTTTCACATTAATCTGCTGAAAGGGGAACATTTCTCTAAACCTCAATTTAAGACAAATACCTACAAGCACGAGATTGCTGTGACATGACAACCAGTCTGGAAGCCCAGGCCAGTATGTAATTTACACAAACTCAGTGTGAACAGGTGAGGCCAGCGCACAAACACTGATAACAGATTTTTCAGTGGAGTAGAAGACATCTTGACAAACAACATTATCATTTGCATAGATTCTGGGTTTTTCAATGAGGAGGAATAAGTAGATGAAATTTTATTCAATGAGACAATTGAACTTTTGGTGAAAATCCATATCAGACAGAAATTATTATCTTATTAAATGTCTGGATGCAGCCTGTACCCACCAGAAACACTCCTACGGAAACCAAGGTTGGAGTCCTGTGTGAAAGAAAGTCAAAGTTGGTTACTTGCGTGACTTACGTTACTTACTTTATTTACATTATATATGTCACTTATGTCACATGACTTACATAATGTACTTATTTTAACCCAAACCACAGTCTTTTTCTAAACCTATCCAGGTGGTTTTGTTGCCTTAACCTAGCCAAAGTACAACGTTTTTTTTACAAAGATTACCACGCTTAAAATGTCATGTGACTTAGGTCACGTGACTTACATAACGTACTGCCAGCACTTGTACATGTTGTTTTGGGGAATGGTCTTAAATGTTGTTATAGAACACTTGAAAATCTACCTAATGAGTGTCCTCATTGGTGGCTTCTGCCCTGCCAATGATGATTGTGAAAGTCTATGGTCAATGCATGGGTGGTTCAATCCCCCACTGTGACACATCCACCAAGGTGTCCCTGAGCAAGACACTTAACAACCCCTTGTTGCTCCAGAGGCTTGTGACCTCTGACATATATATATTTTTTGGATAAAAGCTTCAGCTAAATGAGTAAATGTAAATGTAATAGATATGTAGGCTATATTGAAACACAACACCAGTGTATTTCAACTAAGCAGTCAACAAAACATTACTGTATTTGTAACTAAAAATGCTTTACTTGTTAAGAAACAATCGAAAGAGAAAGTGAGACTGTTGCTACACAATGGTTGCATTGTATGAAAATAAAGTAATATAGCACAATGGGCAGTTGTTTGCAGTATGACCTTATGCTTACATCTTGCCTGGTGAAAATGATTCATACACATATTAAAGTCTATGGTACATGCACTCTGATTCCAAGCTGCTCCAGATTCAGAGTGCAGACACTGTTAATGATCTTACATTAAACTGTCAAAAACTCTGCCAAATTTAACTCAAACTATTTTCAATGAAAGAACCTAGAAAATACATGGTCGGTGATTATCTGATAACAGCGGTGGCCGCACAATCCGTTCGTCCATGTTGTCCTCATTCTTTCAGCAGAGTATCAACAGAATTTAAATATGGCATGCTTTGAAGCTGCATATTCTAGGCCATGCAGAAACCTATTCAGACGCTATTCTATTCAAGTAAAAAGCATGTAGTGTACACTCAATAAGAGCAAGGAATAATTTAGGCAGCATCCTCCACCCAGCTAGATGACTTCATTCAGCAGCAGCAGCTCACTCTTTGCTCTGCATCAGGTGTTAGAGAGCGACGGCCACAGTGCTGCTCAGTGTTGATGTTCAAAAAGATGGATAGAGCTTACAGCACAGCTCTGTGCATAGGTGTGTGTGTGTGTGTGTGTGTGTGCATGTGTGGAGAGGAGGGGATTACAAACCAGAGCGAGATTGAGCTAAATCAAGAAAGAGGCAGGGAGAGTGTGTTTCTCTGCCATCCTGTGTGTCAGCTCTGATCAGGGACAAACCAGAGCCACCTGAGCCCCAAACCTGGAACATATTTCTGCCAAGAACAATGTCACCTCTCTCTGACACGCTCACACACACACACACACACACGCACATGATATGAACAGGGCCACACAATACAAACGTGGACATTCCCATAAAAGGAAATGTCCCATCAGAGTTAAATGACAGAAACAGATGAAGTGCGATTGACACCATTACAGCTGACAACACATTGCATTAAGCAAGAGTAATGCCTTACATTACTCGTTACTTTACTGTCATTACTCAACCCAGCTCTGCATAACCAACTCCAAATCCTCCTCACCCACACATTGCATCTTTTGTATTTAACCATACATAGAAAATAACACATTGGGGTTTACAAGCAGGCGGCCTGCAATTTGTGGGGATTTTTCCGACCATCCACAAACTAGCTTACCCCCAGCTGCTTGGTTCACACACCCTCTACCTCCAGCCCGTCCTCACCAGAAAAAACGGCCATATAGGTTGATTATGCAGCAGCTTATTATGACCCATATTTATGTTTTTTATTAGGCTGTGTTAACAGCACAGTGTTGAAAGAAATCTAGTGACGTAGTATTAGGAGCGACAAAGTCCACGTAAATAGCTGGTGGGGTAGATGGATGTGAAAATAAATAACAAATAAAGTAAGGACTTTAACTCAGGAGGCTGAGGTTTGAGTCAAAGATGACTTACGACAGGTGACTTATGTAATATTCTTATTTTAACCCACACTCCAATTTTTCTAAACCTAACCAAGTTGTTTTGTTGCCTAAACACAACCAAACTACCACCGTTTACCACGTGTTTTAACATCATGTGACTTGCATAATGTTCTAGACTGGTATTTAGGTAAATACGTCGTTGTACTTTGCAGTGGTCACATATGTTGTTTTGGGACAATCAACCTATTTTATCGTTTAGGTATGAGGATATATTGCCTAACTCAGAACAAAACTAGTGAAAGTGGGCATACTTTCTACAACAGGTAGAGGCTAACTGCCGATCCCCCCACCTCCCAAACTAATATTAACGCTCCATCTAACTCCCGGTAAAGACGGTCAACAAGCCGATCCCAAGTAACTGCGTGTAAGTGGGATTAGTCATTGTAATGTAATTACTGAATTTCAATTTGTGATCCCTTACACTACACGTTACAGAAAAAAAGTAGTCACATTGCTGTTATTATATAAAAAAGTGTCTTCATAAGAATTATACATTAGTTATTATTTGTACTTCTAATTCTGAAAAAGTTCTGGAAATCAATCAAATAATATAAAACTACATAGAACATGTTCACAAAGCACGGTGTGAATCAGTCAGCTGCCGTCTCTTTAACTCTCCACTGCTTCATTATATTTATTCTAAAAAGGAGTACTAAGGGGAGATTGAAGAGAGCTACAGGTGGTTAGTATTTGAAAGGGAAGCACTATGCTGTACTTAATTAGATCCTGGTGATC